CATAACTTCATGAATATATTTTAGATTCAGTTCACTGCAAGTAGGTCGATGACTGTTCTATTATTGAATGGTAATTGCTATCATCGTGATGGAATAGACAATACCTGGATTTGCGTCAGGAGAATCAATTAGGGGCCTATATGTATTTTGCCCAACCTGTCGTGAAAATGTATTGAATACTCAGTGCGTGATTTTCTCTAATACACTTTTTGAAATCACATTTCTAAAGCAATAAAATATCGTCACGCACATTTGTATTTGTGGTATTTTATAATTGGTTCAACTATTATTGTGTACGTTTTTAAACACTTCAGATCATCATAACTTCATGAATACATTTTAGATTCACTTCACTGCAAGTAGGTCGATGACTGTTCTATTATTGAATGGTAATTGTTATTATCGTGATGGAATATACAATACCTGGATTTGCGCCAGGAGAATCAATTAGTGGGCCCTATATGTGTAATTTTGCCCAACCTGTCGTGAAAATGTACTGAATACTCAGTGCGTGTGAAAACACTTGAAAAATATATTTGAAAGTTGTTCTCCAGTGGGACTCGAACCCACATTCTCCAGATCACTAGCCTGGCATCATGCCTTTAGACCACCGAGCTTGCACCTGATGGCCAGGGTTGAATTCGAGCCAAATAAGCAGCGAGTACTATTTTTGCAAGTGTTTTTCACATGTACCGTACTGAGTATTCAGTACATTTTCACGACGGGTTGGACACAATTCCACCTATATGTTCTATTGATGATGTTGTCAATATTATAATATATCATAGATTCATGAAATGCTTAATAGGCCCTAAAGGATAACATGACTTGACCATAGTTTGTTCTCAATATTCTTTAATTTTTTAAACAAAATATTTTTTAGATATTTCTGAGCGTTAATGCCGTACCGTATCTGTTTTAAAAAACCTCAGAACGTATAAGCATTCAGAGTTCCGCTTGAGTAGACCCCACTAGAGGCTCTGTCTCTATGTCCGATCAGGTGCATTTTTACCAATTTTACCTAGGGCCCGGCAGTTATCTATGCCATAGTCACCAACCGTCACGCATCACTTCAAAGTGATATTGGATGAAACGCATTTTGCAGAAACACATGCGAGGTCATAAGTGTGTCACGCATTTAGCACTTGCGTGATAACGAATTATCACAAAATCAGGGGAAAACGTATTTGAAATTAGAAGAAATTGGTTTTATTAAAAATATAAAAACGGTATACAGTAGCTTGAGTCATTAGGGAGCTTTCTTTCTTCTTTCTGTATGTCTGGCGTATAAGACGACTCCCTGTTTCATGGTCAGAATTCCTAATTTTTTGTGGTCCTGTATACTGCGTCTAGCTGGATAAATGGAGCCAAATGCAAGGGTAATCTTCCAAATAATACCATTTTATGAGTTTTTAAATCTTCACCACCAAAATCGTATTTTCCCATATTTAAAATTGCTTTCATTGATACAACATTTAGTTTCTTCATTGCAGTAGTAAGTTCGCGTGTTAAGCTGGTTTTTCACTAAGCGAATTTATTTGCGCAAATCAAAGAGTCGGCTCGCTTCCTGAGCTCTGATTGGTTGCGCATTTTTTCGCTTCTCAAAAACTCCGATAGGAATGTGAATGCGCATGTGCATAAGCCGACGCTTTGGATTCGCGTGAATAGTCGCAATCCAAATTTGAAAACTCGCAGTCTGTTCCAGTGGCGGATCCAGGAATTCCCAATAGAGGGTCCCAGGGAGGGACGTCACTTTAACATATGGAGGATACCAACTCAGCCCCAACCATGACGAAAAGTTACAATTATGGTACCTCTAGATGGCACTCTCTGACTTTAAATTTGACACTAATTTCTTTTCCCCCCCCCCCCCCCCCAAATTTTTTACAATTTGTGAAAAATGTATGGGGGGTGGGGCCGGCTGGGTCCCCTTTGAACCGCGAACCAGGGGCCTAAATAATGGCTGTACAATTCATTAAAACTACCGGTACTTGCGTGCAAGTTTCCTGAGTTCTTTTTTTGTTTATTATAGGCCTAGTGTTAATTTGAATATTAAACATCAGTCAAGCAACCGTTAACAGCCGGTAATTTTATCAATATTGTGCATGCATGAGTCCAGTTGAGTTTGAAGATAGTGCTATTAAAGTTGTAGATTTCCACGTAATCTGTGATCTCATTTACTTTGCAATCTAGGCCTATTTAAGTAGCCCTGAATTATCACCTTTCCTTATGCATAGTTTTGTTTACACTACGATTCCAAATTGTTTACGCGTTGTCTCAGTTCAATTCAGTTACAATTATGGTATCTCTAGATGGCCGGAAATGGCACTCTCTGACTTTAAATTTGACACTAATTTCTTCTTTTCCCCCCAATTTTTTACAATTTGTGAAAAAATGTATGGGGGTGGGGCCGGCTGGGTCCCCTTTGAACCGCGAACCAGGGGCCTAAATAATGGCTGTACAATTCATTAAAACTACCGGTACTTGCGTGCAAGTTTCTTGAGTTCTTTTTTTGTTTATTATAGGCCTAGTGTTAATTTGAATATTAAATAACAGTCAAGCAACCGTTAACAGCTGTTAATTTTATCAATACTGTGCATTCATGAGTCCAGTTGAGTTTAAAGATAGTGCTATTAAAGTTGTAGATTTCCACGTAATATGTGATCTCATTTACTTTGCAATCTAGGCCTATTTAAGTAGCCCTGAATTATCACCTTTCCTTATGCATAGTTTTGTTTATACTACGATTCCAAATTGTTTACGCGTTGTCTAAGTTCAATTCAGTTAGAATTAATCCACAGACAACTGATAACACAATAGATTTCAGCATAAGTTGTAAAATCATCTGCGTATAGTGAGAAAAAGGGTGGTTGGACATATCTTTGGGGGTGGGGTTACCTGGGTAGCCTTATTATTAGAAGAATGTTAGGTTGAATATTGTCAATGGAGAAAAAAAAAACAATAGTAAAAACATAGGATTATATATGTATATGTTGGTGTGGGGTGTGTATAATTTAACTGTCAACTCGATATTTATATTCCTTTTAGTAAAGTTCTTATATTTTTAATTTCTTTAGCTTAAGTTTTTGTTTTCATTTCTTTTATTAGTTTAAGACGGACTTTGCCACTTTCTTGTGTGATGCTACTGATGTAAAAGTGAAACGTCAAAATAAATATTTTTATTTATAATTATTATAGAGGTAGATATTCAACTAAGGAAAAGAACTATCATATTTCAGGGAATAACTGCTGTCTCTTATACACATCTAGATGTGTATAAGAGACAGGCACTTGCGTGATAACGAAAAAGCATTTTGATGTGCATAATGTAATGTTTAAAACAATAATGAATAAATGTGCAGGGTTACCCGGCAAAAGAGAGAAAAAATCCTATTAAGCAAGGGTGGAGTTTATTAGACCAAAGGACTTATAATGGTGCAGCGCTAGTGAATAAGCAGCATCAAAACACTATTCATTATTATTTAATTTTTATTAAAAAGAAAAGGTATCCAATAAATTTTTCATCATTATCGTCGTCATCATCATAATCATAATCACCATCGTAATTATCATCATCATTACCATCCTTATCCGCAGCAGCATCATCACCATCATCATCATCATCATCATCATCATCATCATCATCATCATCATCATCATCATCATCATCATCATCATCATTATCATCATCATCATCATTCTCATCATCATCACCATCAGCATCAGGATGTTTGATCAACCCTAACTTATAGATGACACTGGATTCGCGATTGGAATTCACTTCCAGACACGATAAAAGTCGTTAGAGTAATTTTAAAACTAAGCCAAAAAAAAACAACAACAAAAAACACTTTACGGAAACCTAAATTTTTACAAATTTGAATTTTAAACATGTATTTTAAACATATTTTTCACTTTTGAATGATTGATTCTTGTCTGTGCAGATTTTATCTTCTATAACTTTTTAAAGAACTAATTCATTTTTGCTTAGTCTTTTGTTATAAATTTTATACTTTATTTTTATATATATTTTTACTTTATAATTCTTGTTTGCATGTTTATATTTGTATTTTTTAATATCTGGGCCTATCTCTGTGTGTCAAAAATTGTATTGATTTTATTTGGCCCCATTGAAAATGAGCATGACTATCGTCGGCTTAATGGGTAATCCTGGTGCACTATTGTCTTTGCTTCATGTTTTGTAATTTTGAGTACCTAATAAATCAAATCAAAATCTACATTAAAAGGACGCTTTTTTTCTGAGAAAGTGAAGTCTTGACATTCCTTTCTTAATTAAAGTTGTGCATTGGTCTTCCGATTTAAGTCATTAATCGTGATACCTAAATACTTGTGGCTGCTTACAATTTCAATCTCTGTGTTTTCAATAACCAAAGGTCTAATAATGTTATTGTTTTCTCTTTTCATATAGTTTTAAGTTGTATTTACACCATTGAGCAAAATATGATGTAGTGTTCAAATTTTTTGACGGGTTATTTTTCATAATTGACCAAATACATTAATAACAATGTCTTCAGCGTATTTGTTGACAATCTTAGTGTCGCACTATTTGATCGAAAGACATGTATACAGTATGAATGTGGTGATAACACACATCCTTGAGGTGATCCGATCATTGTTACAATAATGTTCGATACAACATTTCCAATTTGAACAAGTTGTGTTGGATTACTTAAAAAGTCTTGTGTCCATATGGTGATGTTTGGATTAACTTTAAAGCATATGCTGAGCTAAAGTCATAAAAACATAGTTTCCTGCCTTATCAGGGTAAACTGCACAAGGACGAGGAAGGCGTCATCGACAGATTTATTTGACTGATGTGCGAATGGGTGCGGGTCGACAATCATTTTTAAGGGATCAAGTAATAGATTGGGTATGTTGATTTGACAAAATATAATATTATGAAAGGGGAAAATTTAAACATAACAAATATCCTCATTACAAAACCTTACAAGTAAATTAATGTTTTGTCTTTTAATAGGTAGGCCTATTTATAAATGATTTAAAACACATTTTCTTATTGAAACGAGAAAGAACAAATTATACGAAAAATGAATTCCTCGTTAACACAACACTACCTTTACAAATAAAAGTTTTATATTTTTAAAATTTGATAAGCCTTTTTTTTAAATATAACAAAACAAGACATATTTTCTTATAAAGACCAAACTGAGGCATTTTTTTAAATGTCGTTTAGGCCTATATCGTTTTAAACGATTATATACCAAAATAATTTAAGCTCACGTTTTTTCTAAACCAATAGAAAATCACACATTTCTTTTGAATACATTGCAAACACAGCGAGGAGGACCCAACCAGAAATCCCCGCGCAACCTCGTCGAAAAAGTTTAAGTTGGCAATAAAGTAATGTTGTTATAACAAATGAATGCAAACCTAATAATCTTATACCAGCAGTATAACTTGGTTTTCTGAACTCACTAAACACTTAAGTTTTATTATCCAAAGTAACAAAAGCTACGGAACAAGATAAACCTGCATTGGGAGAAATGTAAAGTCAATAAAGAAGATCGTTGAGAAAGCAATGCATATAAAACTACAGCAAACAATAACGCTCATCATCTGCATAATTAAATAATTTAAAAAAAGACAAACTTACTTAAAAACTCATTCCTTCCTAGTGTAATCAATGCAGTACTTAGAATCGCGTTTTAGAAATAAGAAATTGTCCTAAATATGTTATGTTAAGGGTAATTATACCATGCCCAACCATATATCACAACTAGTATCCTAATTATTGTGCGCGAACCACGCTTGATTGTTATAATGCTCTATACGTGAAAAATTGTAATTCAATGAATCGTCATATCAAGACAATCTTACTTCTGAAGTCTGATAAAAAAAAAACTGGTATCCACTTCCATTCATTTTGATCAAATTCACAATTACATATGTAGAAGCCTACTCATGCACTCGGCACGGTAACTTTTGGCTTTATATATAATTTATTTTCCTTTTATTTCATTTCAATTTATTCAGTGATTAAACATAACGAATTCACGAAAAACAAATCAACAGGGATAACACAGAAAGATAAAAAAAAGTGCTTATTTTCCTTTGTGGTCCTTAACAGCAACAAACAAACGAAGACAGCTACAACAAACCAAGAGTAAATAAGGACATTAATAATACTGTAATATACCTACATTTCTAATAATAGACATATGTCTCCGTCTTGTTCCTCTAAACGGTTCTATAATTATGTACTCCCCTTTTAAACATGTTTAATAATGATTGGCCTTCATGTATTCGATTGGCCGATAAATGTTACTTCAACTTTTACCAAAACTTTTCACCATTGGAATAACCATTGATGCTGTTTCTCACTCTAGTACCAATGTTGGTTGCTTGTCCTACTCTGAACCATGATTAACTATATGCTGGAGCTGTACCATTATTAACATTCAACATGTGACATAATTTAAGTTGTTCCATAAACTTCTTTAGGCTTTACATTTTGGTTTGGGGGAGGGTGGGGGTATTTTATAGACTCGTTTGGGATTTCCGAACTCATCTGTCTCCAATTTTGATAACCACGGAATTAATATCTTCTGGAAATATTTATCCTTCAATTCAATGTTTTCTTTGTAGTACAATGTAAGTAAATTTATATTATTCAGCTTTTTGGTTTCTTTTGGAATTTCCAGGTAGGGTATAAACTCGGCGATGTTGTCGTTACATCCACACCACATCGATATAAACAAATACACATCTTGACAAATCAGCAATATTAATGGAATCGTTAGACACATTAAAAGATCAATGATTATCAGAATCTGGTTAAATATTTCGTTAGAATTTACACAGTTTATCGTCTCATTCAAGTACTTGATCTCACACAGGAATTCGTCGTTACCAAACTCTACTTTCGCATGGAAGAGAAGTAAATAGTGATAAACAAAAGATATCAAAATAAACATCCAGAGTGTCACTTTAAGGATGAAATAGATCACCACGTACTTGTTGGAGGCACTCCATTCATTTATGTAGCTTTGTATTATCGAGTGAACTTCTGGCCAATCCTCATTACTCGTACTTCCTTTGTTTTCTGTCTGATGCGACACTTCCGCTTCTGAACACATTACCCGGCAACACTTGGAAAACCACTTCGCTACCGTTGACATCGTTTTGCCACCACAGGCTATCCACATGAATATAGGGATTTGTATAAAAACAGCTTGCATGGTGAATGTGAAAGGTATGAATTGATGCGAACCGAACGCGTTATTGTCTGTCTCGTAAATACAATAAGAGTTCAAGTACTTAACTACTTCAGTGTTAGTAACGTATTCAGGTGGTGGGTAACATGTTGTTCCTTGGTTGCCTGTGTGTGAAAATAATGAGTTTATTGTATTAGGGTATAATAAGCTTATATTATGAAATCATTGTATGCCAAAATCTAAATCATACAATAATAATGTATATCAGTATAGTAACATCTGTATTAACAATAAAGATGATATTAAAATAATAATAATAATAATAATAATAATAATAATAATAATAATAATAATAATAATAATAATAATAATAATATGTGGATAGAAAAATTACCTTGGTAGTTTTGTATTCTTTATTATTACCTAGAAATTAATGTCAGCATTACGAAAATCAATTTACATATACAGGCTTACTTTACAGCACATTAACCACCCACCCTCTCTAAAACGAATCATTCAACCAACCACGGACCTTGGTATTAGTAGGTCCCTGCTTTAACCCTCTCCACATAATATTTTATAGGCCTACATGTATTCACTTTCTTGTCAATTATATCAAGCACAACAACATTTACCGAAAATATCACGAAATAACGCCAAGCCAGCTAGTAAGATAGGCAGTCGTGACTGTATCAGATGGATGCCATAATCGAAGGCCAGTAGTTGATTACTCTCGTCTGCAGTCATAAACGTCACTGATTGAACAACGCCTAACACAACGGCCATTCTTACATTTATCGTCTACTTGTTTAGTATCGTAATCACAACTGTAATATGCTGTGGAAATAGTGCATATAGTTCATAAATAAATAAACATTTATGGTTCGCAAGAAGCCTGTTTTGTGATTATTGCCATAGATTTTAGATTGAAGTGCTGTTTAACGTCTGTGATTGGATACCATTTATTTGAGACTAAATTTGTGATAGAGTGGGTATACTGACTCGTAATTACCCCATACTAGTGCCGTATCGGGGAATTCGAAATAGGAGCCAAGGGAGGAAGGGGCATACCACCTCAGCCTCACCGTGGTTGGTAAGACAATTTATGATTATGGCACATGGTCGGAAATGGCACTCTCAGTTTTAAATTTTAATATAATTTCTTTTTTACTAGATTTCTTTTTAATTTTGAAAAATGTACGGGGGAGGGATGGAATCTGCCATAGACTTGCCACAAGTCTCTAATTTATTTTTTCGTACTTTCGTAGCATTAGCACATTTCGGAAAGCGCCACTAGCGTCAGTTTATGTCGATAAACTTTTTTGATGCGAATTAGAAAAACAATCCAAGAAAAAGTAGGCCTATACTATGAAACGCCAAGCAAATAGGTAATATGGAACGCCAGTCGTGCCAAAGTCAATTTTCCAGCTTTTTTACTGATTAAGGCAAAGTTTAGGGACTGGAACCCAGTTTAGAATCCGCCACAGTATACACGCTTTCTATCGCTTTTCTATTCAATAATAAGACCAATGGCCTAATACAAGTTAGACTGTGGTGCACTGTATGCTTATCCCGAGGTTGGTAGCTAAGCCTAACTGGTAAGAACAGTGCACCACTTTAGTTAAGAACTTCATTTTCTCAGGAAACTGCGTTATTTCAAAGTAGTAGCATATACTTAATTCATTTTATTCATCGGTTGTAGAAAGTGCAATAATTATATGATATGATGATTTTTATGACTGCTGTGGTTGGTTCAATAGTTTTTATAAAAAGTGAATGTAGGAAACTACAAAGAATAGCAAATCAGGCAGAAAGAATCTTGAAATAGAAAAAACAGTTTAACGAAATTTGCTTGGAAAGAATAGTGGTAAAAGGAATGGTTACCATCTGGCATGCGATTAAAATCCATCGCCTACAAAACTATCCGTTATCATCCTTTGTACCATATTCGATTAGAAGTTTTAATAGCAGTCAGTAAACAAAAAATTAAGTTAGGCTTATGTACTTACAAAAACATTTTAGTATACAGTACCGTTTAATTCTTGTGTTTTAGTGTTTTTTAAAGTATTTTCTGCGAAGTGTAATTTCTAATATAGGCCCCTATGCTTCTTTCGTGGTTCTTGCTTCGTGGACCTTGTGCCGCCTTTCGGGAAGATTCAATCCCCTCGTTTGGAATCTCTGGTGCCACCATTGGGACAAGTTCATCAATGAAGAGGTTACCTAAGTAAAGCGGAGATACCGGGTAGATCTTCTCGAGCGAGCCAAATGGCCGAGCGGTTAAGACAGGCACCGTGATCATAGCCAACAATATCGGCACAGGTTCGCGGACGGCTCCTATAGTTCTAGTGGTGGAACAAGTCTTCTCTGATAAGGACTATAAACCGTAGGCCCAGTGTACACAATTGGCTCGTGTGCACTTTAATGAACCCAGTACATCCTTCGAGAAGAGCAGAGGGTTACCCCGGTGTACTGGCCCATGGTCAGCCCTGCCGTTGTGGACAGACGAAAGTGCGCCTCTTGGCAGCTGATCGGACATGATGTGACCCTTTGGGGAGATGAAAGTTGAAGAATGAGTTGGTCCACGCCTGTGCGCATTTCAGCCTAGTTAAAGCTGCAAGTCACAGGTTATTTCCTCCATCTACATCTATTCTCTAAGGAAAAGCTCTGACCCTCCCCTTTTACTTGGCTAAGCAAAACATTAAACTAAAGCATTTAATAATCACTTCGTTCTACCAGTAGGCCCAACGCTTTCAACGCATGCTCCCATGTCAATACTCCAACAATACTCTAGCTACTTTGATAAAGTTAAATTTGTATCAGTTTTGGCCCTGTGACGGTTTAAACATTCACAAGCAATCTTAAGAAAACGAAATGTGAACGCCATATCTTTGTTTTCGTTATTCGTGTCTACATGTTCTGTTTCGCAGACAATCTTAAGTAGACTTTCGACTTCGCCTGTTTAACAACGATTTAAATTGACAGTTGTAGTAGGCTAAATTAGTTGCATTATATTATCAATATTAATATCATGATCATAGATTAACTCGATCCGAATGTTATGTAAGTAAATATGTTTAATATTACATCCGTTTCTCTACTGACAGCTGCAACAGCTTATTGTGAAGCGCTTTATGAGGCGTTCAATATATTATTTGCCAAAATTATTTCTAATTGCTCAGTGCAACACAGTGTAGCGGTTGGTTTCTCGAATAAAACTTAGTAGTGACAATTAGGCATCAGCACTGAGGCTCGTTCATTATGAAGTCGAAAAATATATTTCCCTATATGACATTGTAGAAACAAGTTAAATGAAGACGTCAACTTAGGTCCACAGAATCCATGGATTTGTTTTTCTTCAAAATTTAAGGGATCACCAGACCGACTGCCCACCTCCCCACTTAAATTCGCCACTGAGGGTATAACCAGCTAACAATTTTACGATATAGGCCTATATATATAACATTATAATAACGTTGCAATTTGTTTTAAAACGTTTCTTTTTTTTATAACCATAGATGTACGTATTTATAACGTAATTTGTAATTTTTGAAAATAACGTTGCTGCAACTTCATGTTAACGTTATTGTTTGATATAACCTAACCACAACGTTCGAATGTTATAATAACATTTCGCGTACAAGGTGTGAATACAGAGAATGGTGAATACCTACCTTTTTTGCGAAGCACACCAAGGAAAACATACGAAAGTCTTATATAGGTAGAACAACACCCCGAAACTCGCCCACTTGAACCATGAAACCCGGCCCGCCCAACTTATGACCATTTTGATTGCCACTTGCACCACACGGACATAGGCTTAAATGATCCTGGATCCACCTACACTGGCAAAACGGCCGACAAGGTATTCGATTGTGCGTGAACACATTTTTTGACTACAGTATTTGTATTAGACAAACATCAAATTATTCAGTATGATATGTAAAAGATACGAGGATGTCAAGTATGATACGTGAAACAACCTTTTATTGGATTTCCCGAGAGATATAAAATCGACCATTCTAAGTTGACACCTCCCTTTTTCTTTTTTTTCCCATTAGATTTTTGTTGAGTTCATTTCATCATCATTTTTATGACTATTTTCGACGATGATGGAACGACATGGAAAACATTAATGATGTGAAGGCCTATGTAAATATAGGAAATCTCTAGTCAGGCAATAACGTGATCTTATAAATAAAATGATTGTATCACTGTTGGCGTCGTAAAAATCATTTCCTTAATTTTTTTACGTGATGTCCAGTATTACAGTATTTTGATATTTCCTACTTGAATGTATTTTTGAATTTAATCACTCTGCAATTATTCAGTGAAAAATTTAATGTTTCTCATTTGATATATCATGTTGACACTATGTAATCGCTAGCCTACTAATTGAACACGGTAACGATTGCAATGGTCGGGGACAATTTGCATACTGTATCTACCGGTACTACCTATAGAAAGCTGTTTAAAAGAGCATTTGAATTCTTATTTACATTTTCCATCAAACTTTTTTCTGGTTTTCAAACTTGTTTGGCCCACGACCCAAACAAGCGTTCAGGCAAGTTGCCGCGACCCACTTTCCGGGACATTAAAACACTTATACTCAAACTGGTAAACAAAATTAAGTAAAATGTTGAAATGACACTTAAAATGTACTCTCTATCAAATTTTATCATGATATAAAATTTATTTTGCGACTCAATTTGATAACCGTTGTAATAACTATCATCCAGTGGTGTGAAACTGTAACATTAAAACATTTGATTGTGTTAGGGCGCTGTAATATTTATTAATTAAATTAAATTAATTAATTGCTGCGCGAAGCAGCCAATTCATATTCTTGACAGCAATTTGATCTCTGAAAGGTCATTGTTTGTCAAAAAAACAAGGGCCTAAGACGACTGAAAAGCGGAGTTTCCTTCTTTCGTTCTGCCGGGTAAAATCAATTAATTTAGGCGACGTTTGTAGACTCTTACTCGTACCAACGTCCGCATGTCGCGCTAGCCTTATCCTACTCTAGGCCTAGACTAGCTAGGATGGTATAGGCCTAGCCTTGAAGGGACGAAGGTCCCAATGAAAAACGACGTCGCTATTTAATAGCTAACATTTATATTTAACATCACAATAATTCATTATTAGACCTATAGTTTTTTGAATTGCACTCCACTAATCTCAGCCGATACCTCGCACAACTCGTTAACGTCTCGTATCTATTGTCGTGACGTCATGGCTCGCTGGCTCACACTTGTGATGTCTCGCACTTGTGATCAAATAACACGCTGGCTCGCACTTGGGCAACACTCTTTGGCAGTCAACCCGCCCCTAGAAAACCCGCCCTTGGGAACTTGCCCCATAAAAAAATGTACACTTCCTAGATCATGCAGTCTTCAAAATAAAAATTCTAACCTTTGGAAATCAACTACATTTTCCACATACATAGAAATTTTTGAAACTTTATTAAAAAAAACCTAAACAATAATTCACCACTATAGACACTTTTTGACAAAAATGAAAAATTACGACTTTGTTACCCAATAATGAGAAGTGTTGGGTCGTGTCTCATATTATTTGTTATATTTTTATTATTCATTATTTTCACTTGACTCGCATAAATTATTTTGTTTGAAGAACATTTATATGCAGTTGTACTTCGCAGCACTTCACTTGCAATTTGCAATTTCTAGTTTATTTATTAGGATATGCTTTTGAAGCAACGGCACAAACCAAGGTAGTGCACGATCCTAGGTCCTCTAGAAAGACAATACCGCCCCCTATATGGTTGGCTGACTTTTCTTTTAAAGTTTGATTGTTGTTTCGCTTCGCTTGGCTGAATCCTGTCGAGGGACCGAGAGATAGACTGAGATAGATAGGTGGATAGATAGGGGAAGACGGAGGAAGAGGACAACATTCGCATTGATAATCTAATTTCTTTATATGTCAGTTACCAGGGATGTATGCTTATTCTTCCACCTGCCAAACATCATCAAGTAACAGTTGGTTCTAAGGATTTTGAAGAGTAAGTTATCATTTGTGAAGGCCCAATCCTGGTGTCTGCAGATGCCGGTCTTCCCGCATTGTTGTTACCACCTGTTCGTGAGTCCAATACTTCATTCCACGAGAGTCATGCGTAGGCCTATCTCACATAACGACTTCAAGCTCCATTGTCAAATAGATATAATTATAGTTTACATTCATACTGAAATGTTCATTGTCTTATCATCATTCAATCTTATGATTGAAGTTGGTGGAAAGTAGTATCAGATCACGGGCCGCACAATATTAATAATAGGCCTCATCTTTCCAAGAATCCAAGTAAGGAAGTAGGCCTAGGCATAGGCCTAGTATTGTTACGGTTCATTCCACTGTCAGTGTCAGTGGATTTTTTCAGGCATTGTAGTAGCTAGGGGCTAGATGTACATGTACTTGCCAAAAAACCTAATAATTAAAAATTATTAGGTTTTTTTTATATATCCTTTCTATTGAAATTTTATCCTCTGTCGATAGTGGTTCTATGTGCATAGTTGCCTACCCTTGCATATTCACTTTAAGACTATGGATAATCAGGCCCGGGGTGGACCTTTGGTGGCTCAAATTTCAAGAAACGAAAAAAAAAAAATAAATTATTGACTGCCCTAAAAATCTGCCCCTGATAATTAATTGTAGACAGTTTTATACAGTAGAAAATCCTCTATACATGCAGTATACTGTACAGTAGTGGGGCAGTACATGACAGCAGCAGCAAAAATAAAACTTTATTTATTCTTTTATTATCAATAATGAATGTGGCACTCAGCAACTTATCGCTTAAAGTGGAATCAGTTTCTATTTCCAAAAACATGACAAAAAGAATTCTGAAAAGAATCCGTAACTCCAGTTGTTCTTTAAGCATACATTCTGTAGTGCAAACCACAAAATGGCATACATGAGGACTGTTGGCATGTGATATTGTACTGTCCGCTACAGTTTAACAATGATTTTAATTACTGTAAAAATATTAAACTTATTTTTTGCCTGGTAGTAGTGCACCTTCCTTAGTGAATAAAGTAAAAATGTTGTTTATTTTTATTACACCCTGCATTACAGTACCCTGAAATCTATAAATCTTTTGTCAGCGTGATTATTTAACTGTGTACTGTACATTGAAATAACACTCTTTTTTATTTCATTTAACACAAAGTTTATTTAAATTTTTTCCTCGTCCAAATGCTTTTGGCCGAAATGTTTTGCTAAATGGGGGAAAAAAAAGAAACTAATCTTTCTTCCACCCTCCTCTGACAGCCTATCAGAGATAAAGTTTACTAATACAGTACAAGTAATATATTTTCTTTTTAAATTTGTGCAATTAAAAGTTATCATTTTAAATATTTAGGAATGATAGAATACATTGTATCTTATTTGCATGAGTTTCCATCAAGGCCTTATAGAGTACCACAGTTGTGTCGTCATGACGCCAGATGGCGCTCTCTGTTGTCAACAGACGTTGGTTACCGTTACGCCTGAATAACTTCATAGGCTTTCTGAAATAGGCATTTTAAAATTTTCAATTAAAATTTACAAAGAAAAAGTAAGATACAACATCTTAATAATTACGTTAGAAATTGGGATCAGTGGTTTGTCAGTGGAGAAAATTGCGCCCGGTTGAATCCATTTTGCAATGATAGCAACGGAGTATTATCATGTGGTATGGTGACGTAACACTGCAGTTACTGGTATATAGAAATATTAACCTTCCAAACTTGGAATAAATGCAACCTAGGTTGTTGAACTTGTGCTGTTAAGTCATACAAAAAAGGTTGCTAAAGTCACCAGAGAAAAAAACGAAAAATGCTAGTGCTTTTAAAAAAATTATTTGGCCATTTATATACCCCCGGTCGGTCAGCTTAGAGCTTTCCACCCCAATCCCATCTAGGAAATCTGGAGGAAAGTGGCAAACCACTAGTGTATTTAAAAATCTTTACATGGGAAGGGGTTAATGGTGGTGTGACAGGTGAAGTGGGAGCTTGATATATAGGGGAGGGGGAGCTAGCTTGCAAAATATGCTGATTTTTAACTACTTGAGTGAGATTTTCTTGCTTTGAACTTTTCAATTTTTTGGGGGAATGCACCCTGTGCACCCTCACACCCTTCTAGATATATCACTGGGGTCAAGAGGCAGGGCCCAGATTACAGTTTGGGATCTTATCCAAAACAGATGGCATTTTTTTATTATTATATTTCTTCATCTAGTGGCCCAAGCCTCTCGTGGGTTTCAGGCAGCTATCCTACCCTTTTTGCAGTACTGTACTGTATTATATAATGAAATAATCATCTATGGTAGATAGCAATCAGAGCGTTTCCGTGGAGGCCGATTGGTGCCAAGTAGCTTTAGCTGCAACCCTGATAAATTCAGTGAAGGCAATACAGCTTAACAAAATATGTTTGATTCGCTCTTTCCTTTCGTTAGGTCACCATAATTACTGTACAAATGTACAGTTTCAATTCCATGTTTCCAACATTTCCGTTATTGAGTGTATTAGTTGTGGATGCTCCTATATTTAGAGCCAAAATAAACTAGATATGTTTATTTCACTTTGGTTAACTAATTTTTGGAAAATATAATGGCATATTTTTTGAAGGACATGGTTAATTTGGCAAATCACCCTTCCAGCTTTTTTTTTTGTTGAAATAAATTGAAGAAAAAATTATATTTCCTTGTATTCTCCAAAGGCTTACAATTCTAATGCAAAATTATTTGGTGGTTAATTAAATATGAAAATTTAATTTTATATATCATAAATATACTTGCCAACAAAATATCAATTGAATATATAGGACATCTATTTGTATACATGATCTCATTTTGTCAATTTTACTTCTAGTTATTTTTAAATGTAGGCAGTGGCCTATATATCCAGGGTTGTATATAATTAATAGAGTATGCCAAATGGCGGAGAAAATTACTGCTGTAATTGCAGAGGGACTGATACTTGTATTAAGCTTAAAGAAGCCAATATTCATAAAAAAATACATCACATTCCAAAACCATGTTTCCGCATGATTTGGCATGGTTCCTCTAGGTTCCACATGGTTTGGTTCAACATTGTTTAACGTTGTCCTTCATGGTTCCAAAATGGTTGCACATGTTTGCATTATATGGTTTAGTATGATTCTACAGTACTGGGTTCCATGGTTCCACATGGTTCTAATCGGTTCCACATGGTTTAACATTGTTCTCCATCGTTCCAAAATGGTTGCACATGGTTGCATATGGTTTGGCATGGTTCTACAGTAGGCCTACTTGGTTCAACTTGTCTTCAATTGGTTCCACACGGTTTTAACACGGCTCTCCAAGGTTCAGAATTGTGTGAACATGGTTCTATTTCACTCACAGGGGCGGTGGAATCATTTAGTGATTTTTCATGCTTGAGAGTGCATCTCAGCTCCATCACCGTGGTAACAAATGAGGTAATGATCGCATAAATTGCATGATAATCTCATGGTATAATCTCATGGACAGCATGCCTGATAAATTGGAGAGCCTGTGATCGGTACTGTAGGAAAAATGAATAAAGTATTAAATGTGATTTTCTAGAATAACCCAATAAACCTCAGAGGCTTATCTAGCAATATTAATCCTGCTGATGTAGGGAATAGGTTGTTGAACTCTAAAACCAAACCAGGGCAGTGCTGCTTTTAAACTTTTCAACAACCTAAAATAAGAGGATATAGGACATAATAGAATTTACAAATATTCCTTAAAATCCAGAACTAAAATAATTGTCTAACTTAAAAGCTTTTAAAGATATTTATTGAGAGTTGACTGACTAAAACAAGGGTGCTACAATTTTATTTCTCAGAATGATGGTGAGTAACCAAACAAAACTACTGTGTTGTTTTTTGGAAGCGGCTTCCAGTTGAGAGATTAAGAGATTCACACAAAAAAATCTAGCAAAATGTAACATATTGTAATATGTATAAACAAATTGTATGGAACACAAAAATGCACCTATACCTATCCACACTATAAAATTATATGACAAAAACCTGTGAAGTGCCCGTCATCATGCCCTAAACAAAGTGCATCTTATCTATGAAATGACTGTTTATTATAGTAGCAGCTGTTTTCATTTATCAATATCAGATTGGCAAAAACGTATTCATTTTTGCAGTAAATGAATCCATTCTCTTTTTTTTTATTTGAGGAAGTCATGTCCAAGAAGGAATATAACTCAATGATGATAAATTTGCAAAAAACAATTAAGGAAACTTATTAAATCAGGGTAATATTATTTAGTCATACTTGCTTTAATAACAATTCCAAATGTTGAATACATTTTGTTAATGTTGTTTTTTGTGAAAATCTGTCTCAATAAGGAATAATATTAAAAATTAATGTGATCCATATTAATAAAAATATGTTTATGATATTAAAGATATCATTGCCTGATGTTTGGGAACTTGTATCAAGATCAAAATTGATGTTTATTTGGCATTGATGGTCTGAAATTTAAACATTTAATAAAAGGAAATAGTTCTGTGAATGTATAGATGACTATTGTGATATTTAAACATCTCATTTGAATTACCTTGACTGGTATAGTTGCACTTTGACTGTAATTTTTATTTTAATTGAATGACCTATGGTTACAATTAGCTAATATGAAATATTTAAATTCAACAAATATCAAATAATATAGGCCCCTATTATTAATATAAAATCTTTCATTAGTGCATGATTTAACCTTTTTCCAGTTTGTGTGCAAAAGGCCAAAACAAGTATTGTGCACCATGATGAATTCTAAGTTAGTGTTTTTACACCTAGCACTACGATGAGTACCTGTGGAAAGAGAGGGTAGAAACTCGCCTAATTGTGGTTTCTTGACAAGTGCTAATTGAGAAATTGAATTTTGTAAAGCATACTGCACTTTTTTCATGCATTAATCTAAACTTTTTATAATAATTTTTACTAGTGTATGAGACACAACTTGAATTTGACAATAAGATAAGCTCATAAAAAATGTGTAGAGTTGAATAGTTGATTGTTAAATGCTTGCCTACAAATCCCAGGGTCAGGTGTCCAATTCCTAAAAACAACTCCACTCCATAAGCCTCATTTAATGAGACTTGAAGCATAATATATTTAGATTAAAATATTTTAAATGACATGTGAATACAGACAGAATATAATAATAATAATAAATAATAATAGTGTAGTTTTATATAGCACACATATCCATCTAATGTAAGATGCTTAGGGCGCTTGATATGTGGACTAGAACTCAATCAATGACTTTCTTCACCCCTAAATGTCCCTTCGTGTCTGTGCTACCTGGTAACCCAGTACCAGCAGTACCCAGTAATCCCACTACTTGTCATGAGCCATTGTATACACTGGGCCTACGGTTCATAGGCCTTATCTGAGAAGACTTGTTCTACCACCAGAACCAGTAGGCGAGCGTGCCATTAGGACCAGCGCCGATATTATGGCTATAGCTTGCGCCGCGCCTGCTAACTGCTTGGCCATTCGACTCGAATATAATATTTTTAAATTTTAGATGTTCACTTTAATTTTATATTTTTTTTAAGAATAAAAGTTTCTAAAAAACAATGGTACATGTGACATCGATATTCACCAGTGTTTTATTTTTATTTGTGACAAGGTTTACCTCGATTCACAATAGGCCTGAAGGTGTACAGACTACACAGGCATCATATTGCCATCACACCCATTGATACTACACGACTTCGGCTTCACAGCTGTCACGTTCAATGCAAATTTCCAAGCAGACTGCCCCTCACTGAGAATGACAGGTCAAATTGATAACCCAAGGCAGTGTTGATGTGAAGAAGAAGCGACATTGTCTTTGGTTACTGGATAAGCTCCCTTGTTAGCATCTCATAAAACGATTGGTAAGTTTGTATATAAATAATTTTTATTTTGTGTGCGAATACAATATTTTTTCCAAACGTGCCATTGGTTGTTTACCTTTCTGATTGGTTAATTTTTAGCAGATCTAGGAAGAGATTGGTTTATGATTCTCTCTGTCAAATATTGTGAATTCTATTGTGACTGAAATGTTTTGTGACACTGCAATGTTTGTTATTAAACCATTAGTTAATATGAAGTGAATAATATTAATCATATTGAAAATGTATAGCTATTTTGTCTTTCAGAATAACCTGTTTCCAATTACTGTATGGCTGTGGTTAACATACAATAATGAGTGTAGAAATGTTAGAGTAAATTGTATTACAATTTTAGGTCTTGACATTGTTATAATTTTTAGTTTGTCACTACCATCATCATCGTCTATGCTAGCCAGCACTTTGGTCTTGAATGTTTCAACTTTTATAATAGTACAGTAGGCCTACTTCAATGAAATGTATGTTTCTGCTGCAGCGGTTTTCAAACAATTTAGACCCAATTCTTTGGAGGTTAAAAAGAGATTCTGGTCATTAAACTAGTATCAAAGCCGAAATATAATGTTTAAATTTTAGCATGATATATATATATATATATATATATATATATATATATTTTTTAATACCATATTCAAGAGGGTGACCCATCCATCATTGCTGATCGTTAGGGCCCTCAAACAATATATGAGGTAAAAAACAAGAATCACTTAATTACAGACAAATTTATAAAATTCAGATATTAAAGATAATTTGTTATTAGTTTGAACATACAGTAATTTAAAAAGTATTAAAAATATTAAAAGAAAATTACAAAATATATTGTTTAAATTTTAGTTTAAAAGTAGCAAATGTAGTACATAAACAATAAAATTTGGAATAGAATTATATAAATTAGGACCCTTATAACTAAAACAGTCTTTAAATATTTCACAATGTGGTCTGGAAATAAAATGATTGCCGTTTTAAATTGTACATATTGTGGGGCGATTGCTTGAATGGATCCTGCTCATCATGCGACATATATATTTTGGTGCAGTATTGATGGAAGCCCTAAAAGCGAGGCAGCCAAGTTGGTATTGAATGCATTGTGCAAATGTCATGATTTTTATGGTATTAAAAAGAGAACTCGAGGGAGTGTGAGGGTGAACTTTAAGGACTGTCTGAATGGCTCTATTTTGAGGCTTTTGAATTTTGATGATATGGTGGAACCCCACACTATACAGTAGTAGTCAATACTGCTTATTCCTAGTCCTCTTGTTTGTCTTGCTTGTTTGCTTAATTGTTTTAGTTAGATACTCCCATTACTTGAGCAACTGTGAGTAATGAATAGGCCGGCCCCTGTGCCTTAAATTTCCTGTAAACGGTGCGGTGATGATGTGGTGTTTCTTTTCTTGTAGCTTTAAGGTTCATGGTAATTTTTGGTTTCTTCCTCCTGTAGCACCTTGAGCACTACTGCAGTGGATTTGTGCACTTTATTTAATCTTCTTATTATTATTAATATGGGGTAAAACTAAGGAGTGATATAGAAGAGCTGTTGATTGGTTGAGAAATTTAAGAGTTCTGGCTAAAAGGGATATAGTAGAATTTAATCTATTGCAGAGTTTGGTGATATGTGAGGTAAAAGAAAGATCAGTGATGACTCTGAAGTGCTTATGATATTGTTCTTGTTAAATAATTTGCCCTGACACAGAAATGTTGATAGCGCCACACTTTTTAAGCTTTTGAGATGTCCCAATGACCATGACTTCGGTTTTATTTATTTTTTTTTCAATTTCTGAAAATCCTAAAGAAGATCAAGTGAAGTTATTTAACGCCAATTTTGAAATCATAGCATTTTCCACGTCTTCAAACTAAGACCCTGGAATTTAAAGTTTTGAATTACTAACCTACAGGACAGGTCCACTAATTGGTTGATTATTTTTTGTGAATTGTTTAAATTTTCTTTTTCATATGCTTCTGATTGGACAGCCAAAGAAACTGTTCTGGTCACGTTAGCCACTAATTGAATTAAATTAACTGTCAAGATTAATCTAACATTCTGTGGTTCTTGCAAATTTTGTTTTTCAAATCGATTCCTTTGCTATCTTCAAATTCTCCAAAATATTTTGATCTTGTAAATGTTTGTTCTAGTAGATTGTTGTTACAAAGATAAAAATGTGAATTACACCGATTGAAAAATATTATTCTAAGAAATTAGTTAAGAGCTTAGGCTTAGCGATTTTGAAAAGCAGCTTTGTAATTTTAAGATTATATCACCACTTTCAGGTTTTATGTGAGAGATACATGAAATCTGCCCATATTTAGGTGTGATATTATTATGCCCATATATGGGAAAAACATAGGTAATTGTCATAAGAACGTTGTGCGTTGGAAATCTGGAATGGTTGTAATAGCTGAATCTATATTCAGGCCAGAATGAGGGCTGTACTTTATTTTTAAAAATCGGTCAGTCAGTCATGCATTTATGACATCTCTGCGTATATGCCCTAAAAATCAAAATTAATTAAAAATAGGACACATGTGACATATGAGTGAATTAATTCTACGTTCTTTTCTCAGTCAAAAGCTCCCTAATATAAAACCTAGGAACTCTGTAACACCAAATCTCTTATAAAGATAGTTGATAATTGAGCTAATAAATAAATTCCTCACCAATTAACAGACTCATAAAAAAAATTAATAAAATAGCTCTAACTGTATATTTTTTGCATAGACACTTATCTGGTAATCAATTAATTTGAATTTTATTCAATGTTAAATTTAATTTTTAAAGGATCTTCAAATTAAGGCTCTTATATTCTTTGAATAAGATTCTTAACTTTGTCTATTAATTTATTATTTTTAATTTTAATTGAATTTTCAAGGAACCTCCTATGTTTACCATACATTAAATACTGTTTCCATAAAGCTAAGAAATTATTTAAAGGAAATATTAATATCTATTACTCATAAAAATGGACGTTTGAGGCTGATGCCATTGAAGGTTAGACCTGATGTGTTGACAGATGGATTTTATACTATCTAAACATCTAAATGAAATTGCCCTGTTCACAATATTTTGTCTCATTTTTTTGAGTGACTTGGCAGCTTTTTAATTACATTTAAAAATTCACCGCCCAATGGAGTATAAAGACTTAGAGGAAATGTGGAACATCAGAATAATTAATATCTGATTAAATTAAAATGATTTTGTAATTTAATATATAAGAATATTGACAAGACAAGACTTTTTGCAAGATTTTGTAGTTTAATATGAAGTCTAGTGGTTATTATTTTCACTTTTTTAATGCTTCATAATACTGAATTTTATTATTGAAATATAAAGTGTGGTGAGATAATTCATAAAAAATAAATCAATCATCCATTGTTATAGGTTTGACCATCAAAAAGATGGAAAATAAAAATAAAATATCTAATCAAACATCCCTACCTCATGATGCATGGTAAGTTTATTCAAAATAAGCCTTTAACTTTCATTTTATGAATAATATATGAAAAACATCTAGAATGATTTAAGTTTATCAAAAACGTTTGATCACTTTATAAGCTTAAAATATCATCATTAAACAATTAAAGTTGGAAAGGTGAAAAAGTACTATTTATTATTTTTAATATTACAATGATTTGCGTATGTAAATAAAAAAATAAAGTCAAAACCTAAAGTACTGGGTTCAAATTAGTGGCGTAATGAAGTGGCCAGAGGCCCTAGGGCAGGGGCCCTTTAGGGGCCCCAGACGCTGGTGCCGTGGTCCACGAAAGGTCACTCTTGCATTTTCAGTGGTTCTATGACGCATGGTTCTATGACGCATTTTAATGCCTTTTTTACACATTTGAACTATAATTATATGTATTGTGATTTGACCCCAAAAAAGCATACTTAATTTTAACTAAGTTATTACTAATAAACATATTGCAATAAATAATTAACAAAACAAGTCAATAAAAATCAAAATGCCCCAATCACTCGGAAGACTTTGGCTTGGAAAAGGGCCTTGGTTATCCATTTGTAAAAAAAAAAAAATATTTGAATTTGCTGGCAGACCCTTGAGGCTCCGTGGGCACTTGCTTTAGCCAGTGAGAGCTCATAGTTTACACCACTGGCTGTCAGGCCGGAGTGCCCATATGTCTTTCCTTGGCATTTGGACCAGACTGTGCAAGGCTTGGGGGGTTCACCACTCCTCCCACACTTAGGATGAGCCAAGCCTTTTTTACCTCCTAGCATATGCTGGTTGTCCTCCTGGGTAGAAAGAGACAAGCGTAGTGTCTTGCCTAAGGACACAACAACTTGCACACCGATGGTTTTGAACCCTGACATCAATTGTTGTGCCCTTGAGGCTTATGGTCTGAGTGGTGTTGTCTTTGGTTTCAAGAACAATTTCTGGCCTGACAGTATTTGAACCAAAACCCTGAGATAAGAAGGCAAGCATTTGGAACTACCATATTTAAGCAACTGCTCCACCTTCCACCAAGTACTACGGCTCATGGCGCTATATGTGGACTAGGAACTCGACGAATTTGTTTCTTCATCCCTAAGGGTCCCTTCGAGTCTGTGCTACCTGGTTACCTGGTACCAGCAACTCAACGCCATCCACCACAGGGGCTACTGTACCAGTACACTGGGGTGTCCCCCTGCTCATCTCAAATGATGTACTGGGTTCTTTATAGTGAATACAAGTCATTGTGTACACTGGGCCTACAGTTTATAGTCCTTATCACAGAAGACTTGTTCTACTACCAGAACCATAGGCGGGCGTGCCGTTTGAACCAGCGCCGATTTATGGCTGTTGGTTGCGGCGCGCCTGCCTTAACTGCTCGGCCATTTGACTCGCATGATGCGATGCCAGTATGACCATGTTTAGGCATGTCACACGTATTTATCAAATAAAATTTGGTAGTCTGGACAAGGCATAAGAATATTTTAAATCATGGGTTCATACTTTCGCTTTCTGAGTATCTTGATACTGATGTAGTAATGTGTTGGATATCCTGATTTCATTTAAGAAGAGTGGTATTGATGCCTGATGTAAACTGATTGTCAACTGTGTACAGTAATCAATTCTGGAAGTAGATGTGACAAAAGTACGAACAGCCAGTTTGCTTGGTATATCTGTCATCACTCTCCATGCACAATTTATCTTGATCAGCTGGTAGGAAGCAAATGTTCTATGTTGAATGTATTTGGCCTGTGCTGGTTATTCATGCATGACTTGGGATACTCACCAGGAAGGAGATTGCACATTGTGAATGATCATGGCGGGTTGTGATTCAGATTCAACTTTGTGGGTGCAGGGTTTGAACTTCCCTCTGTGCATTTCACTTTAGTTAGGCTGTCTCTGTCCACCAAGGGTTCAATTGGATATTAGGCAGTTTTCGCCGCACAACGTTAACCTTAACGTTAACGGATGACGTCATAATTTATTCATCTTGCATTGCGGAGTACGTTAATTTCAGGATTTTACGTGCTCGACGTACGTTAGTTATGGGTTTGCACATGCGTATTTCGATTTGTTTACAAAAAGGGGCGGATCTATCACGCTGCATGTTGGGTACTAACATTAAAGTTAAGGTTAACGTCATGCGGCGAAAACTACCTATCTGTAGTGTAATACTAATGCTAATGCAATAATACTATTGCTAATGCAATACTGTAGAATTCACAGTGAAATGCACGGAAATTTATGACAGATACACTAACCAAACCCTGTAGCAGAAGTTACTACATTGCATAGCCTATATAAATGGTATTATAGAGACGAACCTCGATAATTGGAAGAATATCATTTGATACTTCATACAACCTTCCATTCCTAGGAGGCATCATTTAATTAATTCCTCATTGATTCATATTGCATTGCTGTACGTACAATACCTAATGTTGGAGTAGCAGTTGGAATTATGGTATTCTCACCCAGTGGTATATGTTCCGAAATTTGCCGACAGGTGGTCCAACAAGTCCAGCAAGGGGTCTTTGTTAAAGTTTATTTTACCACAGTTAATCATCATGTTAATGACTCTGGTTAACTGAAGAAATGAAATTAACCTAATTTAAAAATAGTGTACAACTAACAGTTTGGGTCAGTTGTGATCATTTCATTTTAGTCGTTTTTAATAAATAACTTTGGCAATTCAGTGCGTCTTTGCTTTTTACAAGTGGTCTTCCAGTTTGTCTGTCATCATGTTGTTTCTGAATAAGTTGAGTTTTTTAAATGTTGTCCATCCTCAAATTCTTTCACAGCATTCTGTCTTTGTTATTTCCTGTGGTACTTTTGTCATTTGAAAGTCTGGAGACAGTTGTGACACATCCCTCTCTTTTGCCAAAACGTTTTAAAAAGTCCATCAAAATACTTAATTCTGTATGGTATTAGTACTTTTAATGAATTACATATGTAACCATAAAATGTTATTTATCAAAGATTGTGTACGTATGCACTGAGAGATGGATGGACATATTTAGATCTGGTGGGAATTGTAGGTTTAAAAGCCCACATATAATAGGCCATATTTTACCATAGTGAAGACAGTACCACATCCCTTGGAAAATATGTTTTAATCTTAAAAGACTTAATGTAAAATATTTAATATATAAGTTTTTATTAATAAAGATGCCAATGATACTGTATATATATGAGACAAAATTGACACTTAGAATTTAATGTCATTCGATGAAATGGTGTGCTTCCGAGGCAAGTTGACCATGAAGCAACTTGTCACATGATTTTCCCTTCATCTACTACCGTTAGCAAATCATGTTCATTGGTAAAGATGGTACGTAGACTAAAACATGTGAATCTATGAGCACTTTACTAATTAATTTCGATAAATTTGTTAAGTACATTTCTTTGTGACATATCAATTTAGTCAATTATCAGTAACATTTTTTTTTTGTGTGTGTGTGTGAGTAATTCTGTTTGATTTCACATAATTCAGTTTACAATAATTAATGCATTAGCATTTCAAATCAGTTGATTGATAAAACATACAAATGCAATGCAATGTCATTCAATGAATTGGTATGCTTCCAAAATTTTGACCATGGGGCAAGTAGTTCCATGCATCTGCTACAATTTGATTTGATGGATAATTTGGCACAACTATACAGGCTACTGTACTGCACAACTGTTGGATGTCTTTAAAATCATTTTGATATCTTTGTTTTCATCTGAGAACTTGTTTTTCAGTTTAGTCAATTACGGAAACATTTTTTTTGTGTGAGAAATTATGTCCAATTCCACATAATTCAGTTAGAATAATTAATATCCATTTATAAAATCGTTGGATATATGCTTGGTTGCTGGTCATGAAAACATACATCCAATCACATAACAGAATGACTCAGTTTGTTTTCATAATTTTACCCTTCATATTCTAATCTCGAATCTGATTGACTAGTAAAATATATGCTAATTTTAGCTGGCCAATTAGTGCTATTTTGAATAATTAATGAGCAAATGAAGATGATCAATTTTAAGATGAAAACATGCTCTTAGTAGGAAACCTGGTTAATATTAATTCTGGTCTTTTTTTCTAAATTTTTGATTTAGAAATGACCTAATTTGCGTAATTACTGGATTTTCCTGTCATTAATAATTTACCGCAGAAGATTATGAATGATGGATTGAAACGAAAGCTGACAGGATGTTGACACGTGACCCAACAATGAAAAACATTATCCGTTTTTATAATACCACTCTTTCATTTTTTACTCTCATGTTTTATTCATAATCCCATCTTCTTTTGTAACTGTTTACAGTAGGTTACTCTGGCCATCCATTTTGTCCTGATTTTCAGTACAATACTGTATTCTGCGGTGAGGTAGTTAACAATGTATTGTAAATATTTGTATTGTACATATTATGTATTGTACATACTATGTATTGTACAGTCATAATGTATAAGATAGAAAAAAATGATCTCAAAATGGCAAGCATCATTTTATTATGTAATTAAAAATGTTATTACTATTGTATTATTTAGTTTTTCAGTATATACTGGTATTTAAGTTTTATTTCTTATTAATTAAAATTTTTGAAAGATTTGCCTACTGTATGCTAGGGCAAGCAGTCAACAATTATGTATTGTACATTCATGTATAAAAAAAGAAAAAATGATAATCTCAAAATGGCAAGCATCATTTTAAAGTATAATTAAAAATGTTATCTATTTGTTTTTTTATTAATTATTTAATTTTTTTATTTATTAATTGAAATTTTTAAAAGATTTGTTTATTTCATCCTCTTTTTCTTAAATTATATTTTACTTTTTAATTGTATTTTCTGAAGTACTTTTTAAATCAGTACAGTTAGTACTTCAGATGAATGAATAGGCTACTTAAGTAGCAAAAATCTTTTAGTTAATTATAGTATTTGAATACATTATCTTTGTAGATAATTGTTTTCTGTTTATATACTACCTGAGAAAGACATAGCAGTGTAAAAATGTCATCATTCTTTAGTGCTGTTCCTTTACCTATCTTTTTACAATATATATACCTTGTATAAACTATAGGGATATACCCTATTATATATACCCACATGTTCATATTTGCTTTGAGTTCAGCTTTCTTAATCATAGGTCAGAAATAAATGTTTCTAAAGAAATGTAGAAAGTAAATATTTAAATAATAAAAATGTCAAATAAACGCATACTGTAGATACACCAATTATACTAATATCTGGTATTGCTTTATTTCTTGTTATATATTTATATTTTTTTATGACAGTATAGAATAGCTGGACTTATACTTTATAGTAATATAATTCTTTTTGTTTGGAAGTAAATATGTACAGTCACAAATTTATAAATTAAAAATATTCAATTTAACTGTAAGGGCTACTGTACATATAGCTTTAAAGTGATGTTGAAAAACTAATCATTTAAAATGATAAATAGCTCACAGTAATGAGTCTTAAACAGAACAACATTTATGTCGTTGCCTTTTACATAGCAAATGTCTGGGGAGCTGGAGGGGATGGATTGACAAATCTTTTGAGGGCCTTTTTTCCCCTCTATTTAAAGTTGCTTTGGCGTAGTTTGCCTTATCAGTATTTGAACGATGAACAAGGTTGAGTTGAACATGTTCAACAAGAGAATACCATGAATTTGCAATATTCTCAGGGATAGGGGTGATGGGAAGGGGTGAGATTATTTTTCGTTGAGACATGTATATACTGACATGCTGTACAGCTGCATATTAGTACACATGGGAAGGGAAGGACATTTATATATAGATAACTAGATTTTTTGTTGAGGAATACGTATTGCCCTCTATTAAGATGTCAAACCCGAGAACGTACGATATATATTGCATTTGACGTGTTGAATCTTTTTTTTTTTTGTTGAAATGTTGAATAAAACATTGAAGCAAAATGTTATGGTGAGCACACATGCAAAGTATTGTTTAAAAAACCAACTGATATTAAAGTTAATGGTTTTATTTGAACCAGTAATATGTGTACTATCAAATATAAAGTCAGGCACCATATCGTACTTTGGTCTTACAACCAGCGGCCGATAAATCCATCAATCCAATGACGAGATGCCTTCTGCTAATTGTTGGTTGTAGACAGAGTGGATCGTCATTGAAAATATTTTATTGCACGCGCATATTGTGTTGCATTCCATATGGAATCGTATTGGCTGCTGACCATCGGGGCAGCGTATGCATGGATAGCGCATTGTCCATCACCATGTTTTTAAACTTGACAGCTTACTGTTAAATTATTTGTTGGAACCAAAGGCTGTATGATGATATCTAATTTTTAATTCACATAAGATGTCATTGTTCCTATATAAGTTAAGTTTTCATTTTAAAAATTAAAATATTAAGTAACCACTTTGAAAAATTACAACCTACAGTGCCTATAAGTCTTATAATCTAGGAACTAATTTGCATAAATAAAAAAAAAATCGTGATTAGTATTGCATTTACATCACGCTATCCCAAGCAAGGATCCTTCAAAGTTAATTAATTGATTTTATTTAAATTAATGTTAATTGAAAACTTTAAGTGGATCAGACAAGCTAAAATTTACGAACAGTGTGGCTTGTCTATATTATACCTTATTTAGCTAATTTTCAGGATGGAAAATTGAATTATAGTTACCACTCCTGTATGACGCTCTTATGTTTATTGAACTTTAAAAAGAGCATAAGATAAAAGATCCTGCAGACACTACTCTACATCCCATAATTGCATCCTTCCCTTTTTTAAAAGTAGGGCTATGGTCTACTTGACAAGCAGGAATTTTATTCCATGTGTGAGTCTAAATTAAGCTATAAAGGGGGTTGAAATCAAGTGATGATAGGAGTTGTAGGCATCAGTTGAGATTTGTGCTCTCTACCTTGAGACAGTGACATCTAGAAGTCTTAAAGTTGGGGGGTTTGCTGATGGGGAACGAAGGTGAAATGGGGGCTCGACGATCGGTTGAGGGGTGCTAACTTGAAAAATAAGGTTATTTTTTAACTACTTGACTGTGATTTTTTTTGAGGAGGGGGAAACTGGGGGAATGAGTAAATAATGAGAGGGGCTTGCAGCACCCTGCCTTGAGGTGAGAGGCTTAAACATTCATTTGTAAGAACCTTATGCCCCTGGGCAAGGTACTGTATCTACTGTTGCCTCTCTCTCCCCAGTAGTCGAAGTAGGTACCTGCTCAAACACTGAGTGCTGATTACTGCCATTATGTACTAGATGCTCTAGGCTTTTGATACATTGACCAGGGCAAGAATGTTAATTAACACAATGATGTGATGACAATATGCTTATTATATTCTATATCTAACACTATTTTATTATTACATAAAATGTATTGGAATGCATGTATGGGAAAATCTAGGTATTATCCCCTGCTATATTTGTATGAAGGCCTATCTGTGTAAGATTAGCATGTGTCTCAAGAAACATATATCGCAGAGGCCTGCGTATGTATATGTACATACTCAGAGTATGTACATATACATATGTATATGTACATACTCAGAGTATGTACATATACATATGTGTATGTGTACATACTCAGAGTGGAGCTTAAAGCCAGACATAATATTACGCCAACGGTTGTCACCTGCAAGATTCCACATAGAACGCAACGTGACTAGGCATTCGCAAGAGATCGTTTTTTATGGCGATCCGCCCAGGCTGCCACCGGCAATCAGCAGATGGCATTGATAGTTCTAAAAGAGAGCAGAAATGGATTTATTAGATGAGGGTCAGTTTGACCGATGCAGTGTGTGCCCAAAATTTTTAATTCTGCATATCAATTTTAAAGGTTTTTATTGACATATTATTTACTGAAAATACTCAATAGCATTCGTGGATGATGTCATTGGTGAGATACAGTGCATATAAATTCATAAAATCAAAGTTTGTAAAATTGAGGTTCCACTGTAAAGTAGGTCAAAGCAAATTAATTAAACCAATCATCTAATGCACTCCATTTAATTTGCTATAAATTTATATGACTAATAAATGAATAATGAATTTTCTTCTTTTGATGTTGAGTTGCATGCTAATTGGTGAAATGTTATGTCATTTCATTTTTTCAACCAACAGATGATGTTAAGTAGGTTAAAAAAGTCATACCGGTTGTAAGCGCCAGTGGTTTTGTGATGTCATAAGCTCGTCTGAAACTGCTACATGAATTACAGGATCTTAATTTTTATTCATAAGTTTTTTACTAATTTTATATTGTTTATCACTCATTTATTTTATGTATATGTTTTTATATTTTAATTTTTCCCTCTTTAATTTATTGTGTCAACTACTTGAATAAATTTGCTGTGTATATTTTGTCTTATGATTATAAATATAAAAGTAACAAAAAAAATATTCTTAACGTTAGTTTGCTCATTCATAAGGATATGTTTGTGGGCTGTGGGCTAAGCAGTTGGCCGAGAGATATCTGCCTCTTGTGCTGTAGAACCCGGTTCAAACCCAGCCAGCATCAGGTTTTAATTGGGGTCTGATTGCTTGGCTCCTCGAATATCCCTCATATTGAGAGTTAGACGGGCTAAGGACTGTTTGAATATTGTAGTTAAGTCGGGTGGCGCTGCACTAGGGCTGCTGCAGGTCCCCAAGGGGCCCAGCCCAAATTTCCTATTTTTAATTTGAATGATGACAAAATAAAGAATTATTATTTTTTTTATTAAATAAAATGTATGAAAAGTTAAAATTGTAATCCATCCTTTGGTTTTGGATCTTTTTACATTTGAACTTTTGAGTTCCTGGCATGCAAAAAGTGCTCTTGGGACATAAACCGTCCAAAATAAAATTTAAAAAATTTGTTTTTAAGGAATTCTTGCATTCATTGATAAGCTACCCTATGTGAGGGGATTTAGAGAGATTTTGTAAAGTTGTAGGTATGTATGTAAGATGTAGTTATGCATTAGGATTTAAAAAAAAAACATATTTTAGATATAGAAACCAAAAAATTTTAACTTAATTTTGTTAATTAGGATTGAAGTACAGTATGTAAATTCATCAGTTCAATGAACTGCAAAATTGGTGATTTTTATTAAATTTGAGTGAGATGGCAGCTTTCAAATCATAACCGTTTTAATTAACGTAGGAGTGCTACCACATTTTTGTCCCCGGTGTTAGTTACAAGGGGGAAAATGAACTTGCTTTTACAGAAGTTGAAAGTGTTGAAATTAGTTGTTTTTGCATGCTGAGTATCTGGGGAGTGACTTAAGCTAGGTCGGGTGTCCGGATTTTAGAGATGCTTCTTCCTTTTTGTGATGTGATATCATTTCACTGGAGCCACTCGCAGTGTCCCTTGCTTTGAGTAGAGACTACGATTGAGTCATTTAAGGTTTTTCTACCAAATTAATTGAAAGCATCCTGTGAAATAGATCTCTTAATGTTTCTCTCTTTACTCCTGTAATCAGATGTATTTTTAATCTTTGGTGAGATACTCTTGAATATTCCTTTACTCTGGTATCTAGTGCCATATGCCGGTAAGTAAAGTACATAAATAGTTATTCAATTTTTAAATTTTTATTATGATTTTTTTTGGTTGAATTTTGTTTGATTTTGAATTTAATTTTTTGATTTGATTTTTTTTTTAAGTTGTTGGTTCTTAATTCTTGATATTTGATGTTTAATTTGTTTTTGTTTTATTTTGATTTTTTGCTTTTGAATATTTTGATTTTTCATTTTATTTAATTTTGTGATCTCATTGTTTATTTTAAATTTGATTTGAATAATATTGGAATGCAAATTGTTTGCTTTTGATTTGAATTTATGTAATAACTGATATTTAAAATTGATATTTTAAAATAATTTCATGATTTCCATATTCATAAAAAAAAGTATTTAAGTTAATATAATTAAAATTAATCAGAGAAAGGTAAGGAGACAATTTTAAATAAAAGAATAATATTACATCACAAGATATAATTATTAAATTATGTACATAATTAAGATATTATATTTAATGATGGTAAAAGTATCCTATTGCTCATAATATTATATGCTTTAATCTCTGCATTTATATCAAATGTTAAGCTATCAAATTAATAATTACTTATATTGTAAATATTCAGATTACACAAAATTTGTGTAATTACAAGTAAATTAAACATTCTTGAAAATTGT